AAAGTCAGATACAAAAACTAGTCTTTATTCTTAGAAAGAAATCTAAAATTCGTAACACAAATGTCCTTATTAACGTCTAAATTCAATATCACTAAGGTCTAAATTTGAGTTTTTTACTATTACATTAATGATAATGATATACAAAGTGTCCCTCGGTCACTAGTTTAGCAACTTGTAAACAACCTTAGATATTAACTAAGGGGGAAAAGTCGAATAGCATCAGTGTCTTTCATTAATTGCAGGCCAATTCAAGGACCAATGAGTAGTTTAGGCTAATCACCTTCGCAGGCACAACCATGGGGCCTCAGAGGGGGGGTGGGAGGGTGAAGGAACCAGCCTAAAATGGAATTGTTTTGAATTTCTCATTTCATTTTTGCTTTTACCATGTTATAATTATATTTTTCTGGGGAGGGAGAAAACCTGAAGACATGACTGATAACATTTCAGAAGTCAGATCCTATGAAACAAAAAAATCATTTTTTGGCATTAATGTGAACACCAAAGCATTTTTCTTCATTTTCTGTTTCATTTAAAAGAGACAGCTATTTATGTAAAAATAATAATCGCCAAAATGGCTACAAAATCTGGTAGACTTTGAAGACATACATGAGTCACAGGTAAAGTTCCATTGTGACGTCACCATCACATTCACAACGTCACCATAACACCAAATAGCATATTATCACTTGCATAAGACTAACCCTGTTAGGTTTTGTGCATAAGTTTTGACACATGCTGAGGTATACCGAGTATTGTGAGGTATTGGATATAACCGTTCTTGCTACTGCTGCTGCTGTTGTTGCTGCTGCTGCTGTTGTTGTCTGCTGTTGCTGTTGTTGCTGCGACAGCCGCTGCATCTGCAACGAAATGTCGCTGGTGGTGGGCTGTCCTCACCCGGGTGTCTTCACCACCACCACCACCATCGAATCAACAAGCACTGACACTTCACACAATGGCACTGCACGTCACCTACAACATGTGTGTAATACTGTCTGCGGGCTGGCACTCGGGCACTGGGCGGTGGTGGGGCTGCGGTGGCACAGGCCCGGGGCAGAGCCGGGCAGGAAGGGCAGGATGGCACGGAAGGAGCCAGGGGGGGTCACGGGATGGCTCAGAGGGAGGGTGCGGTGGGGGACACCCCCACTCCGGATGGGCGTCGGCCACAACAATACTGCTACAGGTAGATTCCCTGCACACTGGCGGCGACCACTAGTGTTGAGCCTCTGAGAGCAGGTGTGTTTCTTAGTAAGAGGAGGACACGATGCGAGGTAACGGACGCCTCAGGCACGGAACGCGAGGCACGAGGCCGGGCCGGGGCGACCGCCCGCCGCCCACGAGGACGACGGGCGGTTCAGTATGGCACAGGGGCGGCCGCCCGCGGCATGGAATGTTGGCGCGGTATCACAGGGCGGCTGGAGCCGCGTGAGGTAGATGCAGGGCGTGGCGGCCACAGGAACTCAGCACCGGCGGAAGACGGGCGCGGGCGCATGCGGCAAGGTCACCGGCGGGTGCCAGGTCACCGAAGGGACCGCAGCGCCCACTCCGGGGCCAGGTCACCGGCGGGGGGACACGGCGCCCACTCCGGGGCCACGCGTGGGCCATCATCAGTAAACAGGTGGCGCCACCACGTGCTGAGGATGACCTGGGTGGCCGGGCGGGCCGTGGCCTGGGTGGGCCATGGGCGGGACACCAGGTCGGTGGCCCGGGTGATGGCCAGGGAAGCCGGGAGGGCCATGGCCCATGGGCGGCCCCGGGGGCGGGTGGGAGGAGGCAGCAGAGGCAGCGGCGGCCATGGCCTTCTTGCGGTGCGTCTGGAAGTGCTTGAGCATGTGGTCCTTGCGGATGAAGCCCTTGCCGCACTGCTCACACGTGAAGGGCTTCTCGCCGGTGTGAAGGCACATGTGGCGCCGCAGGTCCGTCTTGTGGTTGAACTGCTTGGGGCACACCTCGCACTTGTACGGCTTGTCGCCCGCGTGCTTGCTCTGGTGGTCGCTGAACGAAATCTCGTCCGGGAACCGCTTGCCGCACGTGCCGCACTTGAACGGCTTCTCGCCCTCGTGGTACGTGGTGCGGTGCTGCGTCAGGTAGCACATGCGGTTGAACAGCTTGCCGCAGTCCTGGCACCGGAACGAGCCCTCGCCCGGCGTCGTGGTGGTGGCCGTGCTGGACGTCGTGCCGCCCGACTCGCTCGAGTCCATGGACGCCTCGGAGCCCGTGTCGCCGCCCACGGGGTCCGGGGACCGGGACACGCCCACGCCTCGCTCGCTCTCCAACTTGAAACTGTTAAAGCCATCCAGGGCTTGCCCGGGGAAATCACTCATGGAATGAAACCCCGGGCCCTGGTGGCCCCCCTGCGGCTGGTAGCTTGTGAAGTTGTTGTTCCCGCTGCCGGGGAAAAAGGGGGGTCCGCCTCCCATCGGCGGGGGGGCCTGGCCCCCGAACCCATTGGGGTTGGTGCTGAAGTGGCCGTGGTACAGCGTGGGCGCCGTCGGGGGCTGCTCGCCGCCCAGGTAGTGCGGCGCCTGGCTGTACGGCGGGGCGGGGTGGAGGCCCTGCGAGGGGCCCGGCACGCCCGGGGGCTGGTAACCCGACAGCGACGAGGGCGGCGGGTTGTAGGCAGGCGGAGGCTGCTGAAGGCTGGGCGGCGGGGGCGTCTCCAGGGCGTCGGCCGCCGACAGGTTGGACTCTTCATCTTGGCTGGATATGTTGGAGGCCTCGCCGATGCTCTTGGCGCCCGGAGAGAGGATGGGCGGGCGCGTGGGGTCGGGCGTGGAGCGCGAGGCGCTGCCGCCGTTCAGCTTGGTCATGTTCTTGTGCAGCGTCGTGTTGTAGTGCCGCTTGAGGTGGCCGTGGCTCGTGAACCACTTATTGCAGTCCTCGCACTTGAAGCTCTTGGGTCGCTTCACGTTGGAGGCGAACTCGGAGGGCGGGCCGGCGTCCCTGGGCGAGGGCGGCGGCGCTCCGTATACCGAGCTGGGGCTGCTCATGGCCTGGGGCGCGGCGCCGAAGCCCTGTGGGTTGTAGCCGCCCATGGCGCCTCCGCTGGTGTGGAAGGCACTGCCGACGCCGAGGCCCGGGAGGTGCTGCGGCGGAGGCTGCGGCGGACCCGGGAAGCCCGGCTGCTGCATAGGCGGGAGGCCGCCCATGGCAGGCGCCATACTACTGGGTGGCCCGAACTGCTCGTGTGGGCGCCACATGGGCGGCAGAGGACCTGACTGCTGCGGCTGTGGCTGAGGCTGCTGCTGTTGCGGCTGTTGCATGCCGCCGCTGCCGAGGACCTTCTGTGAGTCGAGATCGAGGATCTCGGGCGTGTCCGCCGCTGGAAGCTCGTCCTTCACCTCGGAGTGTGTGTTTCCGGGCGAGGGCGTGGGCACGGGGGACCGCCCCATGTACGGGTGGAACCTGGGGGTGGTCGCCGCTGGCCTGCCGTAGAAGCCATCGTCGAAGCCGCCGTTGAGGAAGCCTGTCTGGTAGCCGCCGTACTGCTGCGGCTGCGGCTGGTGGTGCGCCTGCTGCTGCCCGTAGTCGGGGTAATAGCCGCCCGGGGACTGCTGGGGGAAGCCGACGGAGAGGCCGTGCCCCGAGGGCGGTCCCTGGGGCACGACTCCTCCCTGTGGGGACTGGAGGCCCGGGGACATCTTGTACTCGTACTGCATGGGCGAAGGCGCCGTAAACGAGCTCGAGCTCACTCCCGAATTCACACTCTGCACCGAACTGCTCACTAGACCCCCCTCACTGCTGCTCACTCCCAGGGGCGTCAGTTCTCCCTGCACAGGTGAGGGCGCCGGGGCACCTCCCTCTCGGGGACGCTCTTCACTTCCCATCCACATGTTCATTAAATTTTCCTTGTGATACTGAAGATGAACGTCGAGGGACCGCGCGCTCTCGAAATACAAGCCGCAGTCCTTGCAATGGTGCGACCCACTCGCCATGGCTAGCTCCGGCCCACGGGGACCCGGCCTCGTACCTCTGCTGGCCGGGGCATCACTGAGACCTTAAGTGCACACGTGTCGAACAAGAGAGGAACTTCGAGTGACCGCGGGAGAGTGAGAGACACACGTGCGCTCTCGACGGGCGCTGGCTCCGTTTTGGCGCGCTCACCGCCAGGGAGTGTGGGACCGTCCGTTCTCTGTGAGTCGGCCTAAGCTGCCCGGCCGCTCACCAAGGACACCTGACCTGCACGGGAGAGGAGAAACATCAGTTACTTCGGCAAGACTCCTTTAACGAGAGGAAGAAAGAGGAAGGAAATAAGGAGGAGAAGGACATGGGACCGCCGTATTTACATTTCAGCGGTGATTATAAATTATTTTCTGGGTAGAGGAAAAAGGGTGAGAGAAATATAACCATGACATTAATACCTTATAATGAACACAGGAAACCAATTACAGATTACGTAAGGCTTAATTTGGAGCCTTGGAGTCATGCTCCGTGATATATTAAGCGACGAAAATCCACGGCCATAGAACACGATCCGCCACCGACTTGCAGATCAATAATAACACATCTTAGCCATCGTGGTCTTGAAATTCGCCATTAACATGTACAAGAAAAATCTAATGATAAAAGAAAATTATAATAGGATAGTTGTATAATTAAGCGTTGGAAAGGTCGGAATCAAATTTCGCAATAATTAGAGCTTTGAATAATCCAGAATTACTCATAAATAATACATGTTCTTTTTAATGTCCGAAAGCCTAAGCTTTGATTCAGTAATCACATATTCGCTCCCAGATGGATATATTATATTCAAAAGTTATGACTTAGTAAATCTCTCTCTCTCTCTCTCTCTCTCTCTCTCTCTCTCTCTCTCTCTCTCTCTCTCTCTCTCTCTCTCTCTCTCTCTCTCTCTCTCTCTCTCTCCAAGAATAGCCTGGAGACAGACCTATGTCTTGAGAAACATCATACTGCTAAACTGTGCACACTCGCATTTGCATACTCCATCTCTTTCCTCCTCCTCCTCCTCCCCCTCGTGTCTCACCGGAGCAGAAAGCAAAAGTTTTGTTTGGAGTATTTTCATTGTAAATCACAAAGGTAGAACCTGATTATCTTGGTCATTCTGAAGGCCCTCCCTCCCCTGGTCCCCCCCCTCACCGAATTCAGTCACGTGGTTTGGACGCCGAAGGTTGCCGCACGTCGCCAGGCAGAACTTGGTAACAGCAGGGATTTCATTCATCCAGTAAAGCCTATTAGACTGAACTTTTTTGCACTTTTTCACTGGCTGCATCGAGTAAGTCGTCGACGGCAAGAACACCTCGTTACGGCAACATCCCCCGCTTCTCAATTTACGAGATGGCAACTCGCGAGCAAGGGCCATCCTAAAAAATGGCTTCACAAGACAATGTCTTGAAGACTCAAGAGAGACATAAGGAGCAAGCGCATTCTTAAAGCACTCAAACGTGTCTATGCAAGGGCTAACGGGGGAATAATGGCAGTGATGAAGGTATTTCCGCTTCTATCTCATCTTGATTCCGTCTGAAACATGGGACGGCAACGTGAAATATGGCAACATCGCCCTGTTATTGGCAGAAGGTGCCTCGAGATGCATCGATCACTCCATATGGCCTCTACGCCTAAGGAGCGGAGGAGCGAAAATGGCGTGACGCTCGGCCCAGAAAATAAATAACAACCTATACCCCACATTTTGTAACTCTGGCCTCGTCTTAAAATGTATTTATTAGCTGGACATCCAAGACCGACACAGATGGAATTTGGTGTAGTAACTCACCCGAGAATAATTTATAATAGACGTCTCTCTAATCACCAGCATTCCACGGCGCTCGAGGGCGCCATTTAACATCTCTATATGGATTATTTTCGAAATACTTTTTTTCAAGATAAGGATCAAAGGAAACTACGGTATCGCATCCTATTGCAATGGCGTGTTACCATGAAGGCCTGGCGAAGGGAAGAGCGAGAGAAAAGCGCGCACTTCGGGAAATGGGTCATGAGACGGTTACTCGATCGGCGAAACACAATGTGGATTATAATCGGCCGAATCCCGAGGTCCTGTCTTTGTAAATATATACATTAAGTCATTGTAGGTACACTAAATAATCTCCCGAGAATATGGAATTCCTGTAACTGATTAAATTTCTGATGTAGAAATACGGACGTTTATTTCCTCTCCCTCCTTGCTCTCCTTCCCCCTCATCGGCGCGGTCTTCGAGATGCCGTTATTCCTGCGGCGGTTCCTATACTTTTGTTTATTCAGGCATGAGACCCAGCAATATAGTTAAGACATAGGCCTACCCCTGCCATGCCCCTGCCCCAGCTCCCCCCACCCCCCACTCTCTCTCTCTTCTCTTCTCTTCTCCTCTTCCCCGCCTCCCTCCCTCCCGCCTCTCGCTTCCTTCACTCCCTTCCTCCCTCGGCGTATGAATCTTGCAGCTTTCGGGTCGCCATAAACCGAAAAAGAAACGAGAAAATAAAGATGGACCATCTCCGCGGCCACCGAAGTCGAAGTCGAGGCCATCTTTATAGCTTTCGGACAATTGGTTGAAAACAATATCTGCCATTCGACGCACACCATAAACTCAGTCGACAACTGTGTGTGATTTTTAGAGATTGCTTCCAAAGGGGGCGTGGGAAAGGCATCCCTATAGTGCGGAAGTATTAACATTTGAAGAAGGAATGGGGGCAGGGGGAGGGGGAGGAAAAGAGAGGGGGGTAGGGGAGAAGGGGAGAAGAACTCCCCCCTCCCCCCGCTCTCCCTTTTCATTCCCCCTCCCCTCACCCCCCTTCCCCTAATCTTTTTGTTTGTAAATCAAAGCTGATGTCAAGATAAACAAAATTTATTACAGGTCATTCCATCCGCGAGAGATAAATAAACCCCCCTCCCTCATCCCCCCTCTCCCCCTCATGTAAGCAAATCTCTATTTTGAAAATATATTATAAAAAAAAAACGCCAAAAACAATCCGGATATCTATTCATACCCCGCTGTTAGAATTAACCGGCAAAACACCAAAAGAGGAATAGGTGGAATACAGAATGAAAAAGGAGAAGGGGAAGAGATGAAGAGGAGTTGGAGGTAAGGGCGAAATGAGGGAGAGAGGAGGAAGGGATGAGGGTGAGGGAGAAACGAGGGAGAGAGAGACGGGAAAGAGAGAGAGAGAGGGGGGGTGAGGGGAGGGGGGTTGCTAACCTCAGATTCGCATCACAAAAAATACAATCCATCAACCTGACCGACACACGGCTATTAAACACCATTCCCCGCCACCCTCAACCTCTCTCACCTTCCGACGCCCAAACCACTAAAAAATGTAATCAGTATCCCTTTCCTCCTAAAGCTACGTAATGCCTTTACCTTCGTAGCGAAGAGTAAGGGAGGAGAGGAGAATAGAGGGAGGGGAAGGGGAACGATGGGGAGGGAGAGTAACGGAGGGAGGGAGAGGGAGGGAGGGAGGGGGAGGGGGGGAGAGAGAGAGAGAGAGAGAGAGAGAGAGAGAGAGAGAGAGAGAGAGAGAGAGAGAGAGAGAGAGAGAGAGAGAGAGAGAGAGAGAGAGAAAGGGTAATACTTTTCTTATAAAAAAGTGAAGGAAATAAACCAGAATGTAAAACCACACTAACTTTTGACATGAAAACAACACAATATCCAACTTGACCTTAAAGACAGTACTTTTCTCAGCCCCTCCTCTTCCCCCGCTCTCCTCTGCCCAAACAATACACCACGTTTGAACATGCGCGACGCTGGCCGAGACACACGCACGGGGGAGGGAGGGAGGGAGGGAGGGAGAGGAGAGAGAGAGAGAGAGAGAGAGAGAGAAGGAGAGAGAGAGAGAGAGAGAGAGAGAGAGAGAGAGAGAGAGAGAGAGAGAGAGAGAGAGAGAGAGAGAGAGAGAGAGAGAGAGAGAGAGAGAGACAGAGAGAGACAGAGAGAGAGAGGGAGAGAGAGAGAGAGAGAGAGAGAGAGAGAGAGAGAGAGACAGAGAGAGAGAAGAGAGAGAGAGAGAGAGCAGAGAGAGAGAGAGAGAGAGAGAGAGAGCAAGAGAGAGAGAGAGAGAACAAGATAAAGAGCGAGAGGTCAAACAGAAACAGAATCAAACGGCCAGACAGAAACAAACAGCGAGACGGACAGACAGAGACAGCTCGAGCGAGAGACAGACTACAGGATATGTAAATTGGCGAGCTACATCCGTGGAAAGAGCAGCCAAGACCCATCCGCGTGTTACAGTTAACCTGCTCGACAAATAAACCTTCAGCGGACAAACACATTCTCACAAAGCCAAACGAAGGAGCTTGTACGATGCAACTTATATATATATGGCGATCATCTATGCATGCTTCACCTTCATACGTAAGGAGGAGAGGAAGTACAGAAAATCGTGATGAGAGGGAATGAGATAGGGATACTGACAGAGAGAGAGAGAGAGAGAGAGAGAGAGAGAGAGAGAGAGAGAGAGAGAGAGAGAGAGAGAGAGAGAGAGAGAGAAGAGATAGAGAGAGAGAGAGAGAGAGAGAGAGAGAGAGAGAGAGAGAGAGAGAGAGAAGAGAAGAGAAGAGAGAAGAGAAGAGAGAGAGAAGAGAAAGAGAAAGAGAAAGAGAGAGAGAGAGAGACGAAATCTAGAAAGAGAACAGGCATTATTGTTTTCTCACCTCTCACCGTCGACAGCTGTGGGCTCCGTAGACGACACAAGACCCAACGAAAGAAGGCACAACCAAAGCTAGGCCCGGCAGCTCTCTAGTGTTAGTGAGCACAGCGTTGCTAGCCTCCTCTCCCCCTCCCTCCCCCCTTCCCCTATTCCCTAGCCCCCTCCTGGCCCCCCCCTCGTCCCCCCCCCTCCTCCTTCCATCACGCCTGCTACAGCGACCACCAGGTGAGCCTACATACTGCTACATCTTCCATATAATATCTACCTCCTTCAACCGCGCGAGAATATATGGGATGGAATGTTTTTTTCTTCTTCTTCCCCTTCTCTTCCTCTCTCAAATTCCTTCATCTCGCTTCCCGGATGTAATACCTAGACAAGTTTATGGCTTCCATCTACATTTCGCTGATGAATATTGTCGCATAATATCACACTTCTACGAACCGTAAAATTCTCTCTCTCGCGTGCACTGGCTGTCTGGACCTACGCGACCGAAGTATTATTGTATGTGTTGTATTCGCGACGGAAATTCCACCTAAGGGCTTAGGCGCGGCGGGCAAGGGCGAGCGAGGAATCCTTGGTGCAGGACAAGGGTTCCACGAGGAAAGCCAAAGGTCCTTGCATCAACAGTGTAGCACGGTGTTCCGCCACAGCCTTCGCTCCCGTCACCGTGAGTCCACATTCTAATCAGGAAATAGCCCCGCTCTGCTTCTCTCACTCCCGGTCCTCTACATAATACACGCCTGTTCTGCTGCTCTTCCCGCGCACATGCATCTACCCAGCTATTAAAGTCATGCAAAGCAAAATTTAATTATTCGCCTTTGATTTGATTTAATGGCCTCGGAATGGTCAATCATGCTAAACAGGAAGTGGGTAAATACCGACTCTGATTGGATGAGCTGCTACACTCACTAGTTCAGGGTCGCTGCCTCACTACCTACCAGCACCGCGTGGTTCAGACGCCAGCAATGTTTTGTCTTTATTAAACACTTACTCACTCTGTTTCGACATGACTTCTTCGCGTTTCAATTGCGCTTTATTTCCCTTTTCATTCACGCCGAACATCGCGTAGATTTGCTTGTGTTGTCATCGGAAAAATCGCACTGTTCTGTGTCCGTCTTTAGTCTTTCCGGGTGGATAAGGAAGTGATTACTGGTCATGTACCCTTACCATCGCCACTCTTGACATTTGCAAGTCAACAAAAAAAATAATTATGCAAAACAAAAAGCTATCGCCATTTAGGTCCGTCTCATAATTATGAATAACAGAGTAAGGTCCAGTTTTAGACGTAGGTATCCTAAACACTCGCCGTTTCAGTGTAAGCCTAACACAATTAACTATGTTCTTTTCCCTCACAATGGACAGACCTATTGCCAAGTATACACAAAAACTGGAGGTTAAATTTATAACACAT